TTAAATACCTTCATTTTCACAGAAGCTCAGGAATACTGTGGTTGTGTTTGGTTGGCTAGAGCAAGGATATTTCAGGTCAACAGAGAAAGAGAAAAAAATAAAAGTAACCGGGTCTACCAGGCTTAAAGCTTTTAATTGATAAACAATTCCAGATGTTACACATGAAAACAATTTTTAAAAAAATGTGGAAGAGAGTGGCAAGCAACTGCGTTCCCCTAGCCAATGGTTGTGTGGGAAGGCCCTGCCCTGTGGAAGGTGGTTCAAAATGGCACAGGGAATTTATTTATTTATTTTTAAACTTTTATATGCCGTCCTTTATGCAGGACATCTCAGGATGGCTTACAGTCAGTTCTTCTAAAATGCTGAATTGCTCCCCCAGCTTTGGGAAGGCCCAGGTTTTGGATGTCTGGCCAATGGATCTCCCCAAAGCAGTGCCAGCTCCTCCATGGGGCCGTACCTCAGTGGCTCTGCCTTCTCATCACCCGGCTGTCGCTCATCCTCTTGCTGCTTGATGGGCAGAGCAAATCACCTGTGGCCACGCTTCATCCACCACGGTTGCTCAGCTCCAGCAAGAGACAGGTCAACAAGCAAGCTGCCATGGGGAAAAGAAGCCACTCCAGGGGATATGGGCTCCTGGCAGGCCCTGCCAATGTGACTTGGGATTCACCCAGACCTGAAGAACATATAGGAACAGATCTTTCCAAACACAAGCAAGCATTGAAGCAGCAGACATGGAATATAGCCAAGGTGACCTGGGCCCCCAAAGGTATAAACAGTGACCATCCCTCAGTGCTAAAGACTCTCTTGAGGGTCTTTCTGATATAACCTCATGGCAAATTAATGTTCTACAGTGGGTGTTACAGGTATGCTTGTTGCAAGATGGGAAAATCATCTCTTCCTTTTCTTTCTCTCTTAACCGTTATTTGTATAGCTCAATATTGGTCTGGGGAAGCACACAGACAAGGGGAAAATGGTAGGAATCAAGGCACTGTCCAAGCAATGCTGTGGGAATGGAATGCATTTTTGTTTTGTTTTCTTTCTCCCCCCCCCCTTCATTTTTCCTTGTTAAGATCTGTTTTTTATCTCTTTTTAGCTGTTTTACACTTTTAAATAATTTTATTTTATGATATTTTATTGTACTTTTGTCATCTGTTTTTTATGAACTCCATTAACTGATCTGAGAGCTTTGGCTGTGGGGAAGTATAGAAATGAAATGAAATGAAATAAATAAATAATTTTAAAAGACTGGATGAAGCACTCAGTCTGTAAAAAGACCAACAGGGTAGGGTGGGGAATCTGCAGAAGAGAAAATCCATTTAACCCAATGTCAGCATGAAACCCAGCACTACTCACTAATGGGGTCATTTCTGACCCCAGACAAAAGTGCCCCAGGCAAATGTTGCATATGGAAATGACTTTGTCTGACTCCTCTTCTCAGGAGACTTGAATCAGCCTAAGAATGTCTTTCAGGTTTCAGCTACTATAAGCGCTGAAATTTAAGTAATTTATGATTTTCTGCAGTTATGCAGAACAATAAAATCTGCATAACAATACTTGGCCTATTGACCTTCAACCTCAATGACAATGGTTTGGCTAAAAAACTTTAAACTAACTTAAAACAGCTTTCCTTGAATGGATTTGCTGGAGGTTTTCACTCAGACTCTTGGCTTTTTGAAATGAAGATAATCTGTACTTTACCCCATTTTGTTATATAAAAGTACCCCACAAAACCTCTTAGCATATTTGGGGACATTTTGTTATTCCTGGCATGTTTGGATTGATAAAATAATGTGGGAACATTTTTACCAGGCAGTTTTGACAATATCCTAGGACAAGATGGTAGGCTTATTTATGGGCCAAATTACACAATGGAAGTGAGCCAGGAGAGGCCAGTTAACCCATCATGCGGAATGATTCAGGAACAGCGGAAGAATCGAATGATGTAGGAGGGATGGAGGGTACCAGTGAGGTTACAGGAATGAGTCCCTCACACCCCCACATTCCTTACGCACATTTATTATTGCAAGAACAATAGGAACCCTGTGTGAATTTTTCCAGTAACTGTGAACTATGCTTGGGACAGTAGTCTCCCTGCAGCGGAGTTGTCATTACCTGACAGAAGGATATTTAGATTTGACATGCTTCTGGATACATATAGGACTACATCACAAAAGCATGTTCAGTATTTATTAACATACTTTGCAGTGTAATCAGCTGTGGCCTTGTGCCAAGCAAGGTCCTTTTTCTCCTAAGCTAAAATTGTTTAATGGATGCATTGTTTAATAGTCAGAATTTGGGCGGGGGGGGGAGGGGGGACTAGTTGAAGGCACTAAAGTGACTCTTGAGGGCAGGGGTTACTATCTGTACTGCTCCTATTTGGATGAGGACTGGAAGAATATACTAGGAAGTGTAACAAGTTCTCCTTGTGCCTGCACAAACAAGGGTTTGTCTAGCACTTGGCAGGCACAATACGAAGTTGTGTTTGGCATGATGGGGCAAGAGAAACTGTCAGAGTTGTAATCAGGGTCTTCACCAGAACTATAGACTGGGGCTTCTTCCTAGAGAGTAAAGGGTTTCCAGATTCTGGGAAGATTTCATCACCTGGGCTGGTCCTTGGGTTTCCTCGGCAGAAAGGACCATAAAGTCTTCCTTTCTGGTGTGCAAATTTGCCTGGGCAATGCTTGTCTTCGCCTGCTCTTGCCTTCTTCTCTGATGCCACTGCTGGCTCAGCTTTGAGGATAGCTTATCAACCACCTACACTTTGACAGATTTGGAGGCTGTTGATGGTACTTCCTCTGGTTTGTTTTAAAAACACCTTCTCTTTATGTATTCTTCTGCAAAGAAAATGAAGCAATGCAGAACCATACACAACCCTCTCTAGCACAGGGTTCATGGACAGGATTCCAGGGCAGTATTTTGAAGCGGTATGTGCAAATGTTCAGGACCCTTTGTGTGAAAGAAGCAAGCTGCTTTGTAGTGAGGGGAGCCATGGGCTCACCTGGCTCCACATGGTCTGCTCTGGTTGGCTGTAGCTCTCCAACATTTCCTCCCATCTTGTTCTTTTAGCAGGAGATCAAACCCAGGAACTTCTGTATGCAAAAGAGATGGAGGACCACTGAGCTAGGACCTTTTCCTGCTGGGAAACAACAGAGCAACAGAGGCAGGATGCTTTTGTTGTGCCAGGCCATCCCAGAACCTGGCACTGAATTTGTCAGATGCAGGATGGGCTGCAGGGTAGGAGACAGGCCTCAGCCATGACCCCCACATCCCAGGCATCCAACAGCCACTCACTGTAGGACCCTCTTCCCTCCCAACACCAGTGTGCATCTTGTTTTGTTGAACTGTTCATGGGCAAGTGACGGGACCTGCTTGAACAGCCCTTCTCTCTCAGTGGGCAGAAAAACCAGCACAGTGCTCCTTGCAAGCAGGCCTGTGATTAGCTGCAAGAATGACGCTCATTAAAGATTTTACAGGCTTGAACATGTGATAGCTGCATTTGTCAGCAGCCAAGAAACTGTACCTCACCCTGGGAAGTATCAAAGCCCCCTTTGTCCTATTTCGCACTAGTACATAGAGAGTTCCAAGGCTAAAAATGTGAGATTACACTTGCTTTTAAAATACCTTTCCCCCCATAAAGCTGACATTTGGCTCACCAGACTCACAGAACGCTGGTAAAACAAATGAAGATCTTTTCCCACATGAAGAACTGCATCAGGATTTGCTTCTTAACTCTACCTTGGTGGAAGACAGATGCAAGCTGTCAGGAAGTCATTTCACTGAGAGTTGGGAGAGTTCTGGCTACTTTTTATCACACCCTTACTTCAGAGCAAGGATGCTTGAACCTCAGGCCCACGTCAAATCCTGTCTGCCTGAAATTACCCAAGCGGATGCACTTGTCTTTTTCCCAGCTGTGGCTTCCCAGGGTCAGTGCTGTTTCCCCACTCCAAAATGTTGAAACTCATCTCCCATTTCTCTAAGAAAAGAGCTGTTTGCTATGTATGTGGATGCTTTTGTTCCCATCCTCTTTGCCTTAGGCCCCATTCACCACTGGAATGCCCTTCCATTTTTCAAAGTTGAAACTTGGGCTGAAAAAGCTTGCCACTCCTGCTTCAAAGCAGGGAAACCACAGCCCTCCTGATGTTGCTGGACCTCAATTCCTATGAGCCCCACCAGCATGAGATGATAGGGATCCTGCAATCTCCAGGAAGGATGATAATTGTAATGGAGGTCCACAGGTTCTCTGAGAGTCTTAGTTCTCGGTAGCAGCTGTGTCCCAGAAGGCAAAGGACTGAGTTCCAGAAGCAAAATTCAGTTCTTGATCTTCATTTCTGTGTCATCAGGCAAGAACCAATCCCTTCTCCTTATATGATACCCCAACATTGTCTTTGTCATGCCAGGATGTGTGTGCAGAAGCCATAACAACCTTAACTTGGCCTGACAGAAAACCATTCAAAAGACCCTCATGTATCAGATGAACCTGGAAAGAAGCTGAAGGCAATTCTCCAGCAAAAACATCAGAACTGGCAAAGGGCTCAAGTGTATGCATGCTCAGACAGAAAAGCCCTCCAAGGCTCAGCATTCCCAAGCAGGTAACAATAGCTGGTAGGGGAAATTGAAATGTGTCACTTGGGAGTTTGGGATTTTCTTTACTGGCAGGGTATAGGTTCATCAATAAATTTAACTCATACACGTATTACACCCAAGTGAAACTTCCACATTTGGAGCCAGTGATTTGGAGAAAAAATGGGCTGGAACCTTTATGGGTCATCTGGGTTTGCCATTGCTAAAAAGAGAATAATGGAGTAGCAGAGCTCTTCCTATATTCCTTCTGACTGACGATTGAGCCAGTTGGTCTCTGCTCCACATACTGCCTTCATTAGCAGCAAACACACCCACCCCACCCCAGAAACACAAGCACATGGGAGGACCCAGGAAAGGCGCCTATTTCAAGAGGAGCTCTACATGTTGAATAAAATGTGGGCATTAACAGCAACCAGGCATTTTTTTTACAAGACAGAGCACTTTATTTACTGTACTAGAAACACCAGGAGAATGAGCCAAGGCCAAGAGCTTCATGGGCTGAGCCAGCCCCCAATCCAGGAACATAATACTGACCAGCTGCATGCAGGAGCCTACATGCTGAACAATACAGAGAAGCCAAAACAAGCAAGCGTTCACAGTCCGGAGAGTTTAGATCCCACTTCTGTATCTCTGGCCTGGGAAACCCCTTTTTCTTGAACTGCATCAATTCAAAGGAGGTTCATTCTTTTAACAGCAAAGGAGCTTTAACCCTCTTGTTGCCCAAACTGGTCCCCTCTCCTCCCTCCCCAAAAGGGACATGGGAAGGAACAGAGGTGGACAGGCAAAGTTGCCTTCACAGTCTGCTCCAGGTGGGCTGTTCTTTCCCACCTGCCCACCCAGCTGGTTTGCGGACTTCAGTTGGATTTAAATTGTGTGTGCTTGTTTTAAAACATTTGCAAGTTGCCCTTCGGTAGAGTGTTCTGGTTTTTTTGCCCGAAAAGTGGGGTATAAATTTATCAAGTAAAAAACAAGAAAACAAACAAACCAAATACAAACTGGCACCAGCAATCCTGTGGGAGGGATCCTGATGACATGTTCTGTTTTTGGTAGTTTGATTTTACTTGTATAAGCTGCCCTGGAAGGATTTGTATTCTTAAAACTGGAATATAAATACTTATAATCAAATAAAAAGAGAGGACGTAGCCTCCCTTGGTGTCCTCAGGAAAGTGTTTCCACAATACCAGTCCTGAGGCAATGAGGAGATGGCCTGCCTATTCAGCCCTGTGATCGTAAGGGCACTCAGACGCCTGACTGAGGCTAGCCAAGGACACTTTGGGTACAATCACTATGCCTAGCGAAATATCCCTCCCCTCCCACACTAGGATTCTACCAAAGTTCCTTTAGCGCACATTTGCTCTCTCTCCAGAGCAAAACAGTAGCTTTCTTCACACTGCATTAGAGTCAACTGAACAGCACTAACGTGCATTGGCATACATTGTGCAATTGTTTTACTGCCAGCAGATAAGATTTTTACTTCATGATACTCTACGATATCACAGAGAGCTAGGAAACATGCATTTAGACAATGATTATCCTTTTCAGTGGTGGTCCCATCTTTGTGGAACTCCCATCCACAGAACATATGTTTGGCCCCCCTCTTTACCCTTTTTTTTCCTTAATGGGTCTCAAAGACCTTTTTAAGGAAAATTACAAATCTTTTAAATTGCCACTACTTTTTTATATATCGCACTGATCTGGGTTTGAATTATTTTATACTGCTGTTTTAATTTCTAAATTGTTTTTCTGTTATTTCTGTGAGCTGCCTAGAGAGAGCTTTTCTGGCCTGAAAGGCGGCATAAAAATACCTAATAAATAAATAAATAAACAAACAAACAAATAAAACAAAAGGTATCATATTAAATGTTGTCACTTTGTGCAGCCACCTGGGAAGAAGAGGGGCCTGACACATCCCATGTCCTACTGATTAGAAAACACCCATCTGCATGAAACAGAACGGTAAGACTGCTTCAGGGAAAAACTCCTCCTGCCACCACACATTTCGGAGCTTGCTCACTGCTCAGACAGACACTGCTCTAAGGCTGCCATGCCGTACAGATTGGCCAGCTCCAAACCCCGATGCTGTTGGATCATCTCCAGGCACGGCTGACTAGCTCTGGCCAGCTCCACCAGGATGCCTTGGAAAGCTCTTATAACTTCCAAGTCTACCGATGCTGGTACCACACGACCCAGCAATGCCAGGAGCTCCTGAAGCCAGCCAGAGCGTAGGACATCCTGTGGCAGCCACAGGAAGAGAGGCACACAACTAGCAAAGGCCTGCATACCTAGAAACCACAACTCACGAATGGCTGGCCAGGCTGCCTTGTAGGCTGGGGAAACCCCCAAGGTCATAATCATCCCCTCGGGATCAGTTTGGGCAACATGTGCGTCTGCCAGGAAACGGATGGCAGCAACAAAGAAGCCCTCGGATTCTGGAGTCCCTTGAAGACCTGGAAACAAAAAATTAAAAGTCATGTCAGGCGAGCGTATGTGAATAACTCCTGGAAAAATGTCCGCCCTATCTGGCTGGCCCCAACCATCTATCTCTGACTCAAGGCCAGCCAATTCAAGGTGCTGAGAGCAGCGAGGAAAGTTACTCCTTGGTCCTTTCTTAGGTCTGGTTTTGATTCTTGGATGGGCCAGAAATGGTGGCGTGCCAAGCCTCTTTTCCCAGTGTACAGTAATCAATAGAGGGGCTGAGCCATAGAAACATAGCAAGTCAGAAGGGTCCTCCTGAGTCATCTAGTCTGATCCCTGGCATAAGCTAGCTCCCTTCATATAATCTCCAATCTTTCCTTGAAAATCATCTCTGATGGGGCCTCCGCCACCTCCAATGGAAGCCCGTTCCATATCCTAGAGTCCTAACCATCAGGAAGTACTTCCTGACATCCAACCTGAAGCCTGGTTCCTTTAGCTTTGCCCCATTGGATCATGTCCTTCTCTCACAGCTCTCTACCTTGTGACATCACTTCACATATGTGTAAGTCGCTGTAAGATCCCCTCAGAGACTCCTTTTCTCCAAGCTGAAAAGTCTCGGGTCCCCCAATCTCATCTCGTATGGCATCCCCACCCCATCCAGCTACCATTCTTGTGACCCTGAGCAGAACTGATTCCAACCTTGCTATATCCCTCTTGTAATGTGGAGCTAAGAACTGGATATAGTACTCCAGTTGTGGGAGCACCAAAGTTTCACACAGCAGCACCAGCACCTCTCTCAGTCTGGAAGCCATGCTTCTCACTAGACATCCAAGGGTGGTATTTGCCCGCTTAACCACTGCGTCACACTGCTGGCTCATGTTTAGCCTGCTATCAACAAGATCCCTTTCTCAGGTACTGCTCTCCAGCCACTAGTCCCCCATCCTGTACCTATGGCACTTATTCCTGATCCCCAAGTGCAAGACTTTGCATTTATCTGTATTGAACACCAGCCTGTTGTCCCCCACCCACTTTCACAGTCTGTCCAGATTCCTTTGGATTTGGAGGGCCTGCTCCTCTGTTGTGGCCACAACCCCCACTTTGGTATCATCTGCAAATCTGGCCAGCAGACTGGTTAGCCCATTCCAGGTCAATGATAAAAAGAACTGGTCCCAGAACTGAGCCCTGGGGGACTCCACTTGTCATTGGCTGCCATTCCGATGACTTCCCACTGATAATTACCCTCTGCTTGCAGTTCATCAACCATGCCCTAATCCATCAGACAGTGCATCAATCCATCCCAAAGCTCGTCAATTTATCAACCAGAATATCATGTGGGACTTTGTCAAAGGTCTTGTCAAAATTCAGGTATACCGAATCCACCACATCCTCCCCATCCAGCCACCTCGAAACCTTGTCATAGAACTCCACAAGGTTCATCTGGCAGGACCTGTTTTTGTGGAAGCTATACTGCATGGCTGCCAACCTCCCTTCCCTATCCAGGGTCTCTAGAACTTTATTACGAGCTTCATCATCTTTCCCAGAACTGACATCAGGTAATTCTCCTTGTCCCCTCTGCTACCCTTTTTGAAGACTGGGAGCACTAAAACCACCCTCCAACCCTCTGGAACTTCTCCCATTTTCCACAAGGCCTCAAAGACTGAGGCCAATGGATATGAGAGTGCCCCTGTCAATTTCCAGGGGTGTGGCCCGTCAGGACCCAGTGCCTTCATAACGTCCAGGGCCCTAAGGAGCCACTCAACTTCCAGGGGAGTGCCTCTAATCTGTGCCCCCATAACCTCAACCTCATCTGGCTCTCTAGGCACATCTCATCCAAATATACAGCAAATATTGCAGCACATGAATGTAATAATCATGTGGACCAAGCAATTATTTTCAGTCAAGAAGTCAGAATTGATGACACATCCTTTTGGAGAGAAGAGCGTGTCATCCACTTGGGTTTGCTGGTATATGTGTCAAGGAGCCACCAAATGTCAAATTCCCCCATTCCCACCCATAGTTATCACTACATTACCTTGTGACAAGCTGCCCTCCCACACCACCTTACAGTCTGTGGCCAGAATGCAATGGGATGGCTCCCATGTGCACCAACCAGAATTCATCTGCAGAAGGGTAAGTCCCTACCTAATATTTCAAAGATAGTCAGCAGAATTTGGATGGCTCAGTGATCTTGGGCCAAGTCGAGTGGCAAGCCTAGCGACCCGAACGACTAATACTTTGTTTTTAGTTGTCTTCCTTGTGCTAGTGCTGCTCAATCCTAGCACTTTTCCTTCCATTTGCCTTCCCAGTGACTTAAGGCAGACTGTCGTCTGCTAACTCCCAGTTCAGGCTGGGGAACAACATCCTGCAATAGCAGATTACTGGACCCAGTGGCCTTCTTGGCCCCTTCCAACTCGACTGTTCCATGATTCTATTATCACTTTGGGCAACCCAAGAAACAAAATGATACTACTACTGGGGTGTGTGTCACAATCAGCACTGCTTACCTGCCCACAGGTGTGCTTCTCAGTGAGAAGGTAAATCTATGCTGCTGGTCTAGGAGTGGATTATATACTCTTCCTTACCAAAAAGAGGTGAATCCCTGCACAGAGAAGAGCTGGCAGGTCAGCCAGGGCAGACAAACCCTTCTCTGCAGTGTATTGTCTACAAGGAAGGTTTTTTTTAATGGCGTGAACAATGCACCGTCATGTGAGCACAGCCCACCTCACAGAATCGCTGCTGAGGCCAGAACTGAGCCACAGTTGCTCTGCAGACTCCCCACCTAGTGCATGTGAACTTCCACACGCTAAATTCTTTCTTGCCTGGGTAAGCAAAGAGTCTCCTGGCCATCATGAGGCCCAGAGTCACCACGTTGGCTGTCAGGGTGAGATGTTCTCTCTGGGGCAGCAGAGGCGGAAGAGATTTCAGCAGCACATCCATCAAGGCTGCAAAACAGTCTTCTCGGCTGCGGAGGAAAGAGCACAAACCAGGAGATGTCTTCCGAGTTAAATTACTTTTGCATTTCAGCTGAGGGCGGTATAATCTCTAATTTTCCTCACAATGACCTTAGGGGATATTTGCTCACTCGCTCACTCTCACTCTGTGGTGTGTGTGTGTGTGTGTGTGAGAGAGAGAGAGAGGGGGGGGGGACAGGGAGGTGCCACAAGTTCACCCACCCTTTGAATCTTGTGACTGAATGAGTGGGAATTTAAAGCCAGATGTCCTTAGTCTAAGCATGACCTCACATATTACATGTTTAAAGAGATCCCTAAAAAGTGTGTATGTATGTCCTTATTTGGAATTGTATGCAACATACAACAATTCTCAACAGGAAGCAACAACTGTATAGTGTGCACTGAAGCAGCAAACTCATGTCCGCCTTTGTGTTACATGCGAGAGGCGCTGCAGGCTCACTTTCTTCCTATGCCCATTACCTGATTAGATCTGGAGCGGTGACCACCAAATTCAGGAAAATCTCACAAGAAGTCTGAAGACTGGTTTCCACAGATTTAGGTGCAGACACAGTTTCAGAGCTAGAAACAAATGTCTCCCAGCGGTGCAAGAAATATTGGCACAGGAGAACCGGTGCTCCCTCTTTGATGAGGATCTCACGGGGCCGATCCTCTGCAGTCAAGTGGCTTAATCCAGGCAACAGGAATCTGGAAGGGGAAGTGAAAGCAATGTAAACATGCCAGAGATAGTGCATTTAATGGCCCATTTGCACAGGAACCTATTCAAGAACCATCACATTGTTCTTCATCTTGGACTGAAGATGGGATATGGTCAATTGATAGAATTTTTGCCAGTTGAAAAGCAAGGAGGATAACCATCTCAGCAGCATGGTCAGCACATTCCGTTCCTTGTCCTGTTGTCTATTTATCTAGCATTCTGACAAGCCTACCAAGACAGCTGAGAGAATTAAGAAACCACAATTGTAAAACAACAACAGAAAGGAAACAAAACACAACAAAGTCTCATGGCGGGGAGCCTTGTGGCTAAAGGGGTAGGATAAAAATAAATCAAAGAAATGACACCTTAAAAACCATCAAACAAGGTGCCACAAGGCTCTGTCATTTTTGCTGCAACTGACAAACATCCCTGTCCCTGTGGAGAAAGAAGAGATACGAGCTTACGGTAAACAAAGTCAAGGCCATCAATGAACCACCTTAGTAAAGATTGCTGGTTTTCACAAGCTCATGCTTTTCATGCAGTTTGATTACTGAAAGTTCTGCAGTGAACCCAAAAGCCTCCATTAAAAACTTCTGCACTATGATCTGATCCTGTGTATGGATAAATGCTGCTCTCATGCAGGCACAAGACTTGGAACCCTCCATAAAAATCACTTCATGGTCCTTGTGAAGGAGTGGCGCAAATGGGATGCTTATCCCAGAAGTCTTCTGGGGAAGGTGGTGGTCCTAAGCTGTAGCTTGACTTGCTGCAGAAGGACTTTTGGATCAAACTGGAAACCTGGAACATGTGGCTTCTGTGATTAAATTAAAAGGTGAGACAGCTCTTTTGGGGGAGGCATTCTCAAAGGTTAATGTTAGGCAGCAGCTTAGATATCTTCTTTTATTGCGCTGTAAATATAATGCGTAATAGACAAACACCAGGATCCCTGCTGAGGGTTAGGCGCTCCCTGGCAGCCGGTGCCATTAGCACAGATCTGATTGTACCTGCTGCCCACTTGCCTAGGCCCACATATAATTAGTTGGGTTGCTGCATTTGCCACTAAGGACTGTCTTTAAAGGCAGCCCAGTCAATCCTTGCATGCTGCAAGGTCCTTACTGTCCAAGAGGCAGCAATGCTGGGCTTATCAGAGCCAATCCCTGAAAGAGACCACTCCTGCCTACCTTTATCTTACAGCAGGTCCAAATTGTGTATCTGGATTCAGTAGCGCCAGCAACAGATACATTAGCTGCTGTCAGGCCTTCCACCCACTTCACTTATATCTTGTCTGAATTCAATCTCAATTTGTTAACCTTCATCCATCTGGCCATAGCTGCTTAACTAATACAATCCAGAGCTGGGTGTCTTCCCCTTGCAAGCCTCCCTGATAACCACTTTTGAGGACCATCTCACAGGGGAGCCAACTGAAGGCCGCTGAAATATAGGATCCTAAAATCGAGAATATCACACTTGTACTTAATGACACAATCTGTTGTCAAGAGTTCAGGGAAATTTCCAAATTTTGAGCCTTCCCAACCCTCACCTCCTTTCCTAACTGTTACAGCAGTATGACAATGGAACCAATTACCAATGGAACAACGGCTACGATGGAACCATTACTGCAGGAAGTGGTGGGCTCTCCCATACTGGAGGCATCCCAGATGCAACTGGGCAGCCATCTGAGAGGGATGGTTTAATTTGGTGTTCTGCACTGAGCCATGGGGTGTACCCGATGGCCTTCCAACTCTACTATTTTATAATTCTATGATTTATTCTGTTTCAACACTTCAACTTCAGATCAAACAAAATAGCCCTGACCTCAGCACTGGAAACTCAAGGGGGCAGGTTCTCTGAAGCAGCAAAATAGTCCCACGTTAATAGCCCCACTGCGTAACTCACCTCAGGGCGTCCCCTCGCCAGATGGGCTCCTGGATGTTGCCTTGCCCAGCCTGCTCTGCCTCATGCTGCAAACCACTTCTGCCTCTCCGCTCCTCTTCGAACTGCATTTTGGCATAATATATCAGGAAAGGTAGTAGCTCACAGATCTCCTGCTTGAGTGATGAAGTCTCTTCAGCCAGCCAGACCCCAAGAATACGAACAGAAGCAAAGATAAAAGGATCCTCCAGCTTCTTCCGACCTACCTGTTGAACAGACATAAATCACAGCAGCCCGGTTGGGAGACATGTCTACTTGCCTTGACAGAAATTCAGAGCCTCCCTGTTTCCTCTGGGCCATCCCTGCTCTCCCTAGCCCCCATTTCCCTATCTGCTCTTTGTATTGTACAAAGACTGGTACTATACCCTTTTCCCCCATGCAAACTTCAGCTTCCTCCTACCTAAAATAATTAGTTTAGATTTCAGATGTACATGAGACAGATGACAGTCTTAAGCCCATATTCTGAACTCCTAATTAAGACAGCCATACTGGATAGGAAGTTCTGAGGAACTTCACTTTACCTGTCTCAGGTAGTGTATGACAGCCCTGAAGGCTTCCCCCAGGATCCCCACCAGCTGTACTTTCTGGGCATCCTGAAGCAAAGAGCCCTTCTCTCTTGTGCACTCCATAATCGCAAGCTCCATCAAGACATAACAAGCAGCCATCAGCTCCTGCTTCTTGTCCACTGTTGCCACATCCAGCTCCTCCAGGGTCAGGCGGGCTTCCACACATGCCAAGTTGGCCAGCAGGGCAAAGAACTTGCTGCCAGAGCTCCCTGCTGGGATCCATCTTGAGCCACAGGCTTGTGACAGGCAGGCTGCTAGTTTCAAGGCAGGGTCCCGCTGGGAGGTACTCAATTTGCTGGTCAGGATGGTAGAGAGGCCTCGGTAGAGGGGCTGAAGGCATTCAGAGCCAGCAGGGAGAAGAGGGGGTACAAAGCGGGGCAGCACTTCACACAGCTGGAATTTGGTCATGTCTTCAGCTTTCTGGAATTCAGTACTGAGGAGGTTAAGCACAGTCATGAGCTCAGTCGTAGCTCTCTGCCAGCACTTCGCTTCAACAGATGTCAGAAGCCCCACAAGCAGCTGGAGGGCCTGGTCAAAGCCATAGTTGTGATTCACATAGGCCAAGCACAGTGCCGAGAGAGTTCCCCTGTTCACCAATTCTCTGGGACCCTTGGGAGTGGCCAGGATCGCTCTGAGGCATTGGTAAGCATCGTCGATCATGGAGTTACAGGATGCATCTCCTGGCTTGCAAGTTGAAATCACATCATTGAACACGGGGATTTTGTTAAGGATCTGAGGATGCCTGGCTAAATCTGGATCAGTGCAGAAGCAGGCCAGCAGGGTGAGGCCAAGAGCCTGGAATGTGTGCTGTGGGCATCCCTCTGGGGGATCCTTGGAAGTGAGGAGCCGGTTTGGGAATGTGAAACCAACTGCATCAAAGATCCTCCTGCGGGCTTTGGAGTTGATTTCTCCAGCCTTTACTGCTTTGGTCACCTGAAAGAGAAATCGGCAGGCATTAGCAGTCTGCAAGTTCTTCTATGACTCACCAGCAAGTCCCTTTCTTCAGCTTATTTACAGGCAAACTACAGGTGCACAGGATTTGCTGTCTCTCAGTGGTAACATCTTTAATCCACAGGACAAGAGCAACTATTGTAATCTGACCAATAGTAAGTACACCAAGTACATTTATCTCAAGCACTTGAATATTACTAAGTGCTATATTGATGTGATGTATTATTGGGAATTATTCCCATTTTGCAGGTGGGAAACTGAGCCAGCTGTTACCCAACTACAGTGACCAGCAAAATTATAAGAGAAGATTTTACTTCCACATTTGCTTACCAAGCAGTCTCATCATCCAGTAAAGGTTGGATTCTTACCAGAAGCAGTGCAGCAAACTGTTCACTATCATTGCTTGCATCTCTAAACACATTCAGGCATCTCTCCAGTGTAGAATTCTTGCTGCTTTCGCCATCATCAGGGACGACTCCTGAATTTGAGGCCATGGCACCAACTCTGACTGCAAGGAAAGACCACAATCATTTTCATATAACAGGACAGGCACAAGGTCACCTGTTGTAACAACCGAAATGACAAGCATCTATACAACAGGGATTACTATTGCTGTCAAAGGCAAGAGTTATAATCTGGAAAGAAAATGAACATTTGTACTGATAGAGCTGGAAAGCTGTCAGGATTCTGGTTGCTCAGATACCAGAGGAGAAATGACATTCCATGCAAGAATCTGAAATATCTGAATATTTGCTGGTAAAATGTTTTTTCCAATCTGGTTTTACTGAGCTGGCACAGAAAAAGATGTTATTTTATTGGTATATGTGATTTCATTTTGTTGTTTCACTGTTGCCATCTTTTAATCTGCCTAGCAAGTCCTACAGGACCATTAGTGTGGAACATAAGTTCAAAAGTAAATAAATATATAAATAATGCTAGTGCCTACAGCTACTGAACAGCTTTTGCATTTAATGACAGGCTGAAAACGGGGCCAGAATTCCAAACTTATCAATGTAGATTTCTAGTCTTTCTGATTCCAGAGATTTTAGACAGTTAACAATAGTACCAAAAATTAAGATTCACCTATGAACCTGGAAGCTTGTTGCGATAGCTCAGTGTGGAGATCAGCAAAAAGCTTAAAAACATCAAGCTTCCCTGAAAGGTATCTTGCTTGCAGCTTCTCTGCAATATGCACCTACAGTGTTTCTGGGGCAAACTGTTTATGTGTATCCTATAAGTCTCACCAATGCTACCTGTGAAGTAGGAGCCACAGCCCAGGATCTACCTTTTCTTGTTTACTATTATTTTATTTATTATTGATTTGGACCTTTATATAATGCTTCCAGTTTTTAAAATCACAAAGCAGATCACAATACTAAGAAACTTGACCCACTTGCGCTTGGTGGACTTTTGGAAACTTGAGAACCAAAACTGGGCTGAGTTGGGAGGGGGTGTTCACAGCTTCTGCTTTCAAAGTTGGCTGCAATTCAAAATTAGGGGAAGATGCATAAATAGCAGGCAGAATTTATGCAAATATCCCTGGCTTAAAAATATGCAAACAGCAGCCGACCAGAGTCAGTTGATACCAGGCTGAAATCTGGGGGACTGACTGAGGGGCTGCCAAATTGACTCGTCTAATGAGATACCTCACACATCTATAGTTTACAGCATATTACGTATTTAAGTAGAACCCTGCAGTCCTCAAACTGTAGCTAAATGTAAAACAAAGGCTCAAGCAGAGAGAGATAGTCTAAGAATTAAGGAATGCAGGGCCTCTTTGCACATGCATAACCCAAGAATTTGTGATTAGTACCAGAACCAAGCTTACAAGTCCTTTCACACAAATATCCATTCCCTAGTTCCCTGCCCCTGCCACATCTCCAAGCATTCTCCTTCAGCAGTCTAATTAAAAAAAGGGGGAGGGGAAGCTTTTAAAATGTTGCTATTGCTGGAGAATTGGCAGTCTCTTTGCTAATGAGTGCAAAGCATCCAGGGATCTACCAACAGATTCTGATCAATGTTCTGCTTGCTACTGCTGTAAAACATTCTACAATATGTATGGATTCTGCAGTAGTTTTCACGGCAAATCCATTAATATGGAAAGAATTCCCTGAAATATGTGAGGACTAATGCCTTAAAGAGAGAGAGCTTCATCTGTGGTGTGGCATAGAAAATAAATACATACATACAAAAATTATTAAACTGCAAACACAAAAGAAACAAAAAATAAGCATTCACTTTAGGACACTCACCATGCACCACCAAAAACCAGCACAAATGCTAAAGCAAGTTTCATACCTGAAGATGGTGGTGGGGAATTCTTTTGTTTGCAGCCCTAGTTATTTTTGAAGCCTTCAATGTATGTTACTGAAGAGAAAAGAACAAGGAACACTGTGGCACCTTAAAAAGCAATTGACTGTAAAAGTGGTTCCAGTGACATCTGGCCATAGCAGTCAATGAAGAAAAATTGATTTTTAGCATGGCACTGACTTGGAAGCACCATGTCAGCCTCTAGCCCTGCCTTGAGCAAAGACAGAAATTTATGCTCTTTCAGATCTAGCTCTTCTTGCATTGTCTAAATATGTACATTTAAAAAGCTGCTTGCAAACTCTTCCTGTACTAGGCCAGAAAAGATAACTGTCTGCTATTATTAACCCCATACCTTTCTTCAGCAATTCCCCTTTACAGCAGCAAACCTCCTCTAGAAGAGGAATGTGGGAGTCAGCTGAGAGACACACAGCCTGGTGAGAACACCCGCCACACACACACACCGGAACTGTATTAGCCAAGCTGTTGAGACCAGGACTTGCATCAATAATGTCAATTATTTTATTGGAGAATTTTTGGACTATTTCAATGTTGCTCTTGCTCAGTACTTGCTTCATTGCAATAATGATTTTATTTAACATTAACATAATTGTTTTGTATCTGTTAAGATTTAGAAAATACCTTTAACTTTTAAACAACATCTTTCAATCATTTCTGCACCAATTAAGAAAAATCACATATCAAAATACATGAACACGGTACTCCCTATCTTGGACAAGGGACTAGGATATCAATTCTAAAAATACATTTACAGAAACTCTAAACACAATCCACTATTAATATCCCTTCTTGTAGACTGGGATAGCGGGTATAAAGACTGCCTTATAACATCCTAGTACTGTGGTCCAGTGTGGGGCCCATACTGCAAAGATATTGAGGTAGAATCACCTGCTTGAACTACATTGGGCCACTACCTTAGCAGAAATGCATGCACCCTTCCTTTTCTCCATGGCTCTTTCCCCATCCTTTTATCCTTATAACCACCTTGTGAAGTAGTTATGCATCATATTGCAGCTGCTGTTATGTGCTGTCAAGCTGTTTCCAACCTATGGAAACCCGAAGAATGAAAGCCCTCCAAAATGTCCCTTCTGCCCTGCATAGCTGTTCTAAATTGAAGGCTATGGCTTCCTTTATGGAGCACTGCCTGGCAACAGTGACACACCCTGGTAACTTCCCGGTTGGATTATTGTAATGTGCTCTATGTGGGGCTGCCCTTGAAGACAGTCCGAATACTTCAAATGGTGCAAAACATAGCTGTCAGGTTGCTGACAGGGGTCGGTTGTTATTCTCATATAATGCGGGTTCTCTATCAGCTACACTGGCTTCCAATTGAAGTTTGGGCCCAATTCAAGGTGCTGGTCTTGACCTATAAAGCCCTAAACGGCTTGGGACCAGGATACCTGAAGGAACATCTCCTTCCCTAGATGCCCTCATGCCCCCTTAAGATCGGGAGGAGAGGCCTTGCTCCAGGAACCCTCCCCGAAGGAGGTAAAGAAGGTGTCTACCCAGAGGAGGGCCTTCTCTGCAGTGGCGCCCAGACTATGGAATGTGCTCCCCAGAGAGGTTTGCCTGGCGCCAATTTTATACTCTTTTTGGCGCCAGGTAAAAACCTTGTTATTTAGCCATCATTTAAGAACTAAGGATTTTAGATGTTTTAAATATTACAGTCGCATTTTCTTTTTGTTTGTTGAATTATGAATGTTATTTATTTATTGCATCATTTATTGTTTTAATTGTTGTATTATTTCTGCTGATTTCAATTTTTATTATTGTTTTAATTATTGTAAGCTGTCCTGAGATGTTTTATCAGGAAGGATGGGGTAAAAATGTTCTAAATAAATAAATAAATAAATAAATAAATTCAAGGCTATGGGTTCCTATATGAAGTCAATCAATTTCTTGTTACCCCACCTCTTAAGCAATACCACACAGGCAAGTTATGATAATAAAATTTAAAATAAAAACAATTTGTTAAATATAATAAAACAGCAATTAGACTTAGGTTAAATCATATTTAAGGGGCTGGCGGCAAGATCAATAAAAAGCTTGCGTGCATTACAAAAAGTTTCCAGCCACCCTCAAAGGCCACAAAAGAGGGTTCCCTCCAAATTTATTGGAAAAGGGGACGACACAAGCTTAAAGCCTTATCCCCGACGGGACCTAACAACAGTCCGGACTGCACGCCTTCTAACGCTTGGGATGGAAGCGCGGGTACGGCTGGCAGGGAAGTTCCCACCGGTGCAGGCGGTGCTTCAAATATTCGAGTCCCAGGCCGTCTCAGGCTTCAAGGGTTAGCCGTTGCAATTTCAGCCTGCGATCTTGCCCGCGCCTGCCTGGGGAGACACGCACGAAGACTGCGCTGCAAGCCGAGCGTGGCAACAAAGGGGTTAAGCCACTGCCGGTCGATGCAGAACATCGGTGCGGTACGATCGAGCCGCCCAGACCCCGCAGGCATCCGGGGGGCTGGATGGCGGACCCCCGGAACTTCCCGGGGGGCCTGTAAGGCGGCCCTGCATAGACCCGGTCTGGGACCGCGGTGCAGCCAGAGCTACATGGGGTGGGGGAGGGGAGAAAGGCTGCGGGTCTGCGCCTGCCCTGCCCGGCCCGCCACCCCATCCACCCGGGCCTGATACTATAAGCACGACCCAGCAGATGATTCTGATGGACCACCAGAAACCGTGCGCTCCCATATCAGAGGTGCGAATTAAATGGCGCAGGATGTGCCCGAGATCGCGATTCTCCTACCGAGAGACAGCCACCCACAGCCACCCACAAAGCCCCCCCCGCGCCCAGCGACGCGTTAGATAGAAAGACAGATGTGTCCTCTCTTCAGAAATCCCCGTCCATAACCCCAAGTACCGCATCGTCCTCCTCACCCGTTTCTTCCAAGCGCGGCGCGAGGCGGGAGGAACTGCAGCTAAAACGCCCTTCTCCTCTCGCCTCCAACGCACCGCCCGCTCTCGCACTCGACTAGCCTCACCAGCTAACCATCCTACCCACCCCCCTTTGCTTTCTAAACCAATCAACCTGCCCCTTACTAGCCCATTCACCAATAGCGCGTCGAGTTAGGACACCGGGCTCGCGAAGCCAAGGCCGCCATGAGAGGTAAGGGCAAAGGCAATCTCGACATCATTACCAACACCTCTCTCCTCCCCACCCCATTATTTGCACAGCAGTGGGAAAGAAAATGGAATACACTTTCCCTTGTTAAAGGCTCGCTACCGCAGCAGCGGCGCTTCACTCTTTCCGGCCATCAGAGCCCCGATTGGTTGATAAGGACCGAGGCGTAGGTTTTTTAATATATATTTTTTGTTTCCGGATGAAGCGAGAAGACAGATGGGGTGGAGAGGAACAAAAGAAGACGAGGCGCTGCTGTGTCTTGTATGTGTTGGGCTGAGCGGCCTCTGAAGCCGTGCAGACGGCTGGCGGTGGTGACCTGCGGCCTACACGGTTACTATGGCGACGGCGAAGCCTGCTGCCCAGGCCGCGGCCCTGAGGAGGATGTTGACAGGCTGACACTCCTCCCATTTACCTGAGCCATTCTTCCTTTCCTCGGTCCCCGCACTGAGGCCCTGCCCACCTGCGAGGCCTCTTGACTTCCCTCTACCCCGCCTCCGCTGTCAGCCGGGAGGACGCCCCTGCCCCGCCCCGCGGTGCTTCGGCCGCCATGCGCCCCTGGTAAGCGGCTTGTAGCGTCTTCCGCTGTCCTCACCCGTTGCTCGTGGCGCTGCTGCCCCCCGCCCCGCGTTCCCAAACCAGGGCACCGGGGTTTTAGGGACGGGGCAGACACCGAGAGTGTGGACACCAAGGCGGGGGCTGCCTCGTCCACCTGATAGTGTTGCAGCACCTGCTCATCCCTAGAGCTGGAAAACGGCCCGAGTGCCACACGGGCAGGAGGATCGAGCCGCCTGGATTGCGCTGGGGGCATCATGGAAGCGGGGAGGCAAAGGGATTTCTGAAGCTGCCTGTCTGCCTTGTACCGTGTCGGACCTTTGGCCCTTTCGACCTGCCCAGACTGCATACGCAGCAGCACTCCAGGTTTGCCAGTCCTGGGGCCGAAGATGCTCGGGATTGAAGCAGGGACCCAATGAAATATAGGAGCTGGGTTCCGCATCGAGAGGGTAATTCTTCCTTTTAAGTCTGAAAGGAAATTTGTGTGTTTAAAAACACAAAAGTTCGGTGACCGTTTTAATGCTTGAACTGGACCTGACGCCCTCCAGATGTGTTAGACTGCAGTTCCCATCATTCCCAGACACGACCAGTTCATGAGAATGGTCGGGGTTGGTGTCGGGACACAGCTGAAGCAGCTCGAGTTGAGGAAGGGTGCTTTAAGGGAAGCGGAGCTGTTACGATTGAATCTGGAAGTTCGGGGCAGTCACTAAACTCTGGCCCCTCCCTGTTAGGGGATGCAGTGGGCTGAGGCTACGACATGTGTGAAGCAGGGCTTGCTGGCAGAATAAATCAAGCGGGAACCTGGAGCTGACTGTATTGCAAACTCTGTGTGTGTTGTGGCCTGTTTCTAAGGATTGCCTATTGAGCTCCTTGATTGTCATTTATTTTATATCTAAAAATGCCTCCTCCTTACCAGGCCATTCAGTATTCACAAAATTAGCCAGTGAAGTGAGAGCGATTTGGACAAAGAGGGCTGCAGTGTGATTCTTGTACTATAAAAGTAATGAATCCCCGCACTGTTTGTCTGCCCTATTTGTGCTAATTTATCTAGCACTGTGTGTTTGTTTGTATTTTAAATATATCCCATTATCTTTTACCTTTGTCTAGAACAGGAGAAGGGTATCTCTTTACTCATGAAGCTTTCATGCCCCATAAAAATGTTGGGGGTTAGAGATTCTGAGCCCCATGAGTATTAGTGGGAGAAAGAACTTTCTTCTTCTGTATACTGCTAAGTGCTGATCTGTCCCAAGTATTCTAGGCTGAAAGCTTTTAATTTGTATATGATTAAAAACTTTCCCTGCTTTGGGTCTCCTTTTTTCCCCTGAGTCCCGTACATTCCCTACTATGTGCTGGGCTTGCTGTGAGACCACAGTGACCCACTTAGCATGGAGGCTGCCCCACTCCGTTTCTGCATCATTTACTGTGTTCTGGCTTTTCCTCCTTCCACTTAACCTTTGTGGGAGGAAGGCAATTCTGCTCTTTTGGTTGTTGACGCAGGTTTAACTATTTATTCCTGATGTAGAGATACATCAGGCTTATCCAATGAGACTTCCTCTTGGGTTTCTGTATGGTTTGCTGTCTGGGTTACCCATCTTTCAGTAAGGAGGCTCACCTAGAACTGTGACTCATCAAGAAATGTTGGAGACAGGCTGTGTGAAGGATTGATAATTGTTAGATGTTTAGGAAATAGTATCTTAGTTTTTACATACTAAGTTTCTAGCTGTTTAAAAAGGCTTGAGGAACCTTTCCAGTGGACTCCTTTTTAGCCACAGGAATCCTGTTTTGTTCAATGTCTTTTCATGAATGGAGTGTGTATTTCAATGTTCTTACATCTGTTAAGGACTACGCATATCATCTTTTTGCAGCTATATTTAATTGTCTCTTCAATCAAGAGCTTAGCAGTTGTGAAATAGGATGTTCAGCTATAATAATGAGCAGACTCACACAGATTTAGTGAAATAGGCAACAGTGTGAGAGTTGAGAATATATACCGAGATGGTTTTAGACATTTAGTGTCTGTTTAAGTGGATGAATAGAATAGAATCCTTTAAATCTGTGCACTTAGTTTAAACTGTTTGGATTTTTTTTTCTGGATTGGAGAATAAAAGTGCCTTCTCTGCACATTAATATGATTCTTTTCTTCACGAGTAAATTGTGAATACTGTATGTATGCATTACAGAATGTAATATTATTGTATATGAATACCCCTCCATGATTATGTTTACTCTCCCCTTCTAATTCAGCAGTGAATATAATGGTTAGTACCGGGGATCACATTGGAAGCAAATTGTGATAAAAATGCAATACCTAATTTATTTTGGTTAAGGATAGCTAAGTAATGTTTGCATTCATTTAGTCATGGAGCTAGGGAACTATAAGGATTAATATGCAGCCTTAGGAACAACGAAATAATGGTTGAATTTCTGAATTTACTGTGTCTGCTGCTTGTTCTTTGAAAAGTAGCTGCACTGATCCACAACATTTGCAGGATTCCCACTGAAAGTTCAGCTACCACTCACCCAGCAGGGAAGCTTCCATTGGTCCCCTTGGAAGAGACTGCTAGGAAAATGGCATGGGATGAAAGATCTAAAACAGGGGTCCTCAAACATTTTCAATAGGAGGCCAGTTGAAAGGTGGCGGCTACACGTGCGGGCCGGTGAGCGGGGGCCTGGGCGCGTGGGCCGGTGAGGCATCGTCGGGTGCACGCGAGGTGATGTTGGGTGTGCATGGCGGCGGCTTGCTCGCTCAGAGATCTCCCAGCAAGTCCAAAACCTTCTCCAAGCGAGCAAACCACCGCCTCCCGCACGCGCCACAAGACCGTGGCGAGCGTGCGTGAGCGGGGGAGGCAGACGGTGGTGGCTTGCTCAATCCTATGAGTCCAAAACCATCTCCTAGTGAGCAAGCCACCACCTCCTACGCGCGTGGGTGGCGGCGCGGGCCAGATGAATGGGCATGGCAGGCCGGATCTGTCCCCTGGGCTGTAGTTTGAGGACCCATGATCTAAATAGTGTCTCCCAATCTTTTAAGTTAAGAAAGAAAAATAGGTACATGAAATATATGTATGCTTTTAAGGTATTGTCTAGTTTAACTCTTCTTCAGAAGGTCCAAAAAGGAAATGATGGAGTTCCTTTTATCATTTCCCCTTGCTTTTCTGTCTTTGGCATGTTATTTCATCATGCAGTCTTTTTTTTTCTTATGTTGAGAATCAAAGAGATCCCTATATATTAAAAATCAGAGTTTTCAAGTTGTGCAAGTATCTATAACCAAAGCTTGCAGTGGGGAAGGGCAGAGCTGATGTTTAAACTTGCACTATATGCCCAAAGACCTCTGGTGATAATGTCCACAGGTAATACTTCATGTTGCTACTTTATCCTCTATATGGTTTTATTATATGCATGGTTTTATTTCTGCTGTATCTCCCGTTCTGTAACTTAATCAAAAAGTTATTTACTGTTCTACATACACAAAACTTCCACGTCCACAGCTGACAGAACTGAACTTTGATCTGTTTTTGTAACCTCAAGGTGTTTTAGTGAAGACCTACACAGTAGCAGCAATCTCATTTTAATGGTTATTCTACAAAGGTGTTCAGAAATTTGATGTTATGCATAGGCTGAACACTACCAGCTGGCAGACACAATCCATTGAGTATGAGCTCTGCTTCAGGCTGTCCAGTGTCTTCCATTATACCTATCTCTCATTGCAAACTGGAAGTGTACCTATAAAATCCTCTGTGGTGTTGCAGGGGCTTTCGAGGAGCACCTCCCATTTGGCACTGCAAGTGTAGAATGCTGCAGCCCAGCTGTTGCCCGGCGCAGCAAGAAGAGATCATATGAGCCCCTCCTGAAAGCACTGCTGCTGAGCCACCAAGTCCAATTTGCTACTGGCTTATAAAGTCTCAAATGACTTGGGATCCAAGGACTTGAGGGAGTATATTCTGCATTCTCAGCAGACCAGAATCTTGTGATTGGTAGGAGATGCTTTGTTTGCATCTCACGACAGCAGAGGCATTCTCTGTACTGGTAACCATCCACAGAATACTCTCCCAGGAGGCTGTAGGTCTGCCCCCTCTGTTCGGTTATTTAAACAAAAGAAGAAGTCATTATTTATCCAGGCACTTGGATCTTGATGTTAGGAACAATTTCAAAGAAATTTGGTGCTCCTGTTTTATTGCAAGTGGTGTGACTCTTATTTTTATAGCTAATTTATCTTGATATGTAAGCTGACATGTATTCCAGAGTTGGAAGAAATGTGTGATACAAAAATACTGAATAAAATAAATGCACAAATTGGTAACAATGAAGAGGCACTGTGTGAGTCTAAGCTCTTGCAATGATTCTGGAAGGTCACTTCTTCAAGCATTCTGGGAATATGCCTGGGTTATGAAGCACACTTCCAGGTTCATTTGAGGACATCCTCATCATTTCCTTCTAGGATGGTAATGAGCACAGTCCATGGGCTAATAGTCACTTGAATCTGTTGATCTGTAGAGCAAAGGGGCAGACATCTTGGAATGCTTCAGGGTTCACACACACTGATTGCACATGAGCTACATGGGGGCTGCACAGATTGATTTCTGTTAGCCTGGGACTAGCAGAGCCAGTACTGGTGGAGCAGGCAAATGATAGGGTGCCTAGAGATTGGAACTGGTTCCTCACTGTAATTTTGCATCTCTGTTAACCAATTGCCTCTCATATTGCCTGTTAGCCATAATCCTGGCAGCCAGCTGTGAAGAAAGGTGCCAGACAATTACAATTTCTGCATTGGATTTATAACCCACTCTTTTGCTCTTTTGAGGAACCCAAAGTGCTCCCTTTGATCGCAACACTGCGAGTTAGGTTAGGCTGAGAGGAAGTGGCTGGGCCAAAGTCACCCAGTAGATTCCAGTGCAAGTGGGGGATAGCAGCCAGATCTCTCTGGTCCTCTAACACTCTGACCACTGCACCACACTGACTCTCTTCCATCAAGAGGTCACAGTGCAGTTTGATAGATACTTGTGTTAACAAAATTCTATTCAGATGGTGGCCAGGGCTAAGCATATATGACTTAGGCCATAAAGGCTTCGAAAGCAGAATGACTCTTATATATTTTCCAGGGCTGGCCAACTGTGTTACCTGAAGACTCTAGCTGTTTTTCACAGTTGGTTATGCAAACCTGTAAGAGATGAGAAAACAAAGTGGCCAGTGAAAATATGGCCAGCTGACACTTTTATGGTATTTGTTCTGTTCGAGACTCTCGGAACCTTTGAGAAGCAGCAAACAGGAAAGGAAAAACAAATACCCATTGTAAGTTGGAGATGGTTTCTGTGCACAGGCAGCACAGAGAATCTGTTCTGTTCAAATTCAGTGAACACATCTAAAGGCAGTGGGACGAAGGAGGCTGTAATCCTTTCTACACTTACTTGGGAAAAATTCCATTGGATTTCTGACTAAAGAGGCATAGGATTGTGCTGTTAGTTATCCAGTCCCACGCACATGCATGTTTTCTTGGAGGTGCATTTTTGAGGCTTGCTCTCAGGTAAGAGTGCATACAAGTGTAGCTTTTGATGCTTTGTTCTGTCTGAGTATCTGTTTATGTCAGCTGGAACAGACCAAGATTTTGCAGCTTGCCTGACCAATAACAATGTGACTTTTGTCTTTCAGAGCAAAGTGGATGCTTGCCTAAAAGCTCATCCATTCAATTCCTGTTTACTTTTTATTTTCTGGCTAGCACCGGATGGTACAAATATGCAAATGATGACATTTATTTCCACCTGCTTAGCAGATGGGCTGAATTTGTTAAAGTTTGGCATACCAAGGTAGAGCTGGTTGACTGCTGCCTCTGCCCTGAAGGCTTTGGACTTTCAGTAGTATCCAAAATATGCACCTGTTTAAGATCTATTTGATCAGCATTGGTTGCTTGGAGTCTGGTTTGCTTGCTTTGCATACTTTTGGGAAACTGCTGCTGTCCCAAATAAGAGCTTGTTTCTGTGCTGAATGTTCTCATGCGTGAAAGCAGCCTGCCATCAATAAACAAGTGCCAAGAAGGCAGTTGTTTGGGCTTGTGTGGGCGACTTCTGTGAAAAAATGAGAAGATTTGCATATATAGTTGTCCCATATTCCAATACCAGCTGATTTTGTGACTTGCAAAATGGATCCAGAGGGCCTCTTCCTTGGTCTAAACCAAAATTGTGTCCCACAATACAATTGGGAGAGCCCATGAAATTTCTAAGGATAAATTCAAGAGTAAACCTTTACTCTTTAATAATGGGAACTTTTTCTGTGCTTTGAGTGTTTTGTATGCCCAGCTTATGCTTGTAATTGTTTAGTGGAAGGTAGTATCTGTTATGTAAAGGTTGCATCTTTCTTGAAGGTGACCTGTGTGTCTTTTGTATATTTATAGTGTTCTGGGTCTGCCCACGAAGGCCATGGAGAAGAAGTCGGAAGACAATTTTAGCATCAGCTCTCTGAACATATTGGGAGACTTCCTCAGAAAATATGTGACGTGTCTGGGCCATCTTCACCTGCTCTACATGTGTGCCTGCCTCAATGCCCTCTGTTCCTATACAGGTGAGTTTTAAAAATACCATCAGATGAATGCCTGCTCTTTTTTTTTTTTTTGGTTCTTATACTTGAAAGATTTCCCAGTCTAGAAGTTTCAACATGAATGAGGAAAGGGTTGTGGGTCTTTTGGATTTTAGCCAGAGAAGTATAGGTCTTTTGGATTCATGTGTATTTGGAAAACCAACAAAACTCTTGTATCTTTAAAATGAACATATTTTGCTATAAGCTATCATGGATTATACTCATTTTATCAAATGAATGAAGTGTTTCTGAGAATTTCAGATAAAATTTAAGAAATCCTTTGTCCTGAAGCTTTATTCAGCCATCTTCCTCCCTCCCTCCCTCATCTCCCTTTAAAGATTCTTTACAGTGGCCAGTGGTAGACTGTCCTGGAAGATTGAAATATTGTCCCAACCGTTTTTGAATATTATAATTTTTGATGTCAGTTTGGGGTCAGTTATTTTTTTTCTGTACAAACTGTCCTGTTTCCCCTATGTAGAGTGCCAAGTGCTGTTACAGATGGAAGGTGGCATGAGTCACATTGGAAGCGACTCAATCTTCCAATGAGTCCCTAATCTTATGGATATTATTATATCCTGTAATAGTGATTCAGAGTATATATGAGAACATGGTAGGCAGGTTTAATTCTATTGCCATAAAGTTGAATTGGGATAAAAGACTTTTATCATACTACATGTATGTATTGCCTTACCTTGTGCCAGGGTGTTTGTATTACAGAAACTGTACCATGAATGACCATCATTAATAATAATATGGTTGCCAGTTTTCTGTACTTTCTGTATTTAATTTCTTTCTGGAAATTGGCTTTACTCTACCCATCTTTTGTCTCTGTCTCTCTGAAAACACACACATGCACCTGAAAATCTTGGTAATATTGCATGCATATGACAAAGTGGGCTGTAGACCACAAAAGCATATGTTACAGGAATTTTTTTACTACAAGGTTTTGTTGTTACTGAGCAGACTAACATAGCACCCTCCAGAATCTGTTTTAAAAGGGTCAGTTGCAAACATTGCAGTTAATGTAGCTGGTGGTATCAAAAGAAGGCTCACCCTGACTACTGCTGTCCTGGATATTTTTGTCATCATCTTCAGACAATACTACACATATGCAGTTTTCATTCTAAGAATGTTTGGAATAATCCAGGGTATAGAACTTCCCACAATGTATGGTTTAAGCTATAGCATGTTAAGATGGCAACTTTCACCAGTACATTGTCAAACTACCTGTACATTTTTGAGCTTTCAGATGGTGGTTTTAATACTTTTGAAATGCTTACTCTAAATGGCATCCTCTGTTTCTCATGAAAGTTTGGGCACACAGCTTGAAACACAAAATACAAGACAGACAGTGCCAAATGTAAAGGTTGCATGTGTATAGTATTTGCTCTTTTTCTTCCTCCAGGTTCAGCTGTGGTCCTCTCCACTGGTCATATATTGAAAGAGAAAGTAGTGAATTTATAGTTAATGCATAATTTCTATTTAATGCAGTCTGTGTGTATTTTGAATTAAGACATGTATACCAAAAATTTTAAAGAGCAGCACGTAACACATTCCTCATTCAAATAGTTTTGAATAATTTAAAAGCAGGAAAAGGCAGTAGAGTAGTTTAAGCCCTCTCAAAATGGTAGATAAGTCATCCTTAATTGTCTGTTTCTCCTCTGTTCTTGCTGCTTCAAAATCCTTTAAAAATAAGCCTTCCAGTTAACAAACTTACTTCTGTTTTCTTCTAAAATATGTTGCATCCTTTATACTGACAGAGTTGCATTTGGTTGCACTGAATAAGTAGTTAGTGAAATTGCTCCTCTTTGCCTCTCAGGCTGTTGCTATAGTCTCCATAATTATGCTTTGCCATCTCTGACATTTGGCAAGTGGGAAATTTGATTAAGCTGATGTGCAGCAAGTGAGTCATTAATCTCCAGCTTGGCATACACATAAGACACTTGATTTAAAATCCTGGACTTATCTTTTTTGTTGTTGTTGGGTTACAGAGTGTAAGTAGTAATCATTGTGTGTTTAGTTAGAATGTCTCTGGCTTGCTTTGTTTTCCCAAGATGAAGTAACCAGTTCCCTAGAATTATCACAGCCACCTTTCAAAACCTGGTTGCTTGTTTTGTATTTTTATTTGTAGCTGCAGTGTTTCAGAAGTTCTCTAAATAAAAGCATGAAACAGAAGGAATGTGTGCTACTTAGAGCAATTTTATTATCTTTGTTTTCCCATCATAGAATATTAGAGTTGGAAGGGACCAATTGGGTCCAACCTCCTGCTGTTGCAGGACACCAGTTTATACCATCCCATCCCACTCAAATATGTGGGAGGGTATAACTAAAGATGTGAACATATGTGTACTAAAGATGTTGTGGCATTTTAACCTACCAAATGTGTGTTCTCTGTCTCCTTCCTGTTCTCACAAATTTTGAATTTTGTGTAATGAAATGTGCTGGCAGCATCATGTGACCTTGTTTTAATGTCATTATTTACAAACATACTTGTTGCCAGTGAAACTTCTACTTCAAACTACTGTGTTCCTAATTTTGGACACATTACAAAATGAAACACAAAGGTTTCCTGGTAGGACTAGAACCCATGAAATTACTTCCTTTAGAAGACTTACTTGAGCGTATTAAACTGGCCTAGCCTGACTTGGCTTGCATAATCACCACATTATAAACTGCCCAGAGAGCTTTGGCTGTGGGGTGGTGTAGAAATGAAATAAAAGCTTCTAATAATTGTGGTTAAAGTCATGGAGCATGCCATTGTGTCCTGGATGTGATGCTGCTTGGGTTTGGATGACATTATATGCCACATCCGTCCTCGTAATTAGGCAAGTGATACCAGCACCCACTGTGACTTAAGCCTCTATGTCTTCCCAGTCCTGCAAAATGAGTAGTTGCATTCTGTTTTCAAAAGAAGGTTTTGAAAAAATTCTTCCTACAGACAGCTCTATACCAGAACTTGCTATTTGGACAAATGGATATAGCCTAGGATTTTAGGATACTACAACCTAAAAAGGCCTCATTGTTTTCAAACAGTAATGCAATCATACATTGCCATGAAGTAATCCTCTTCTTCATTTTGTTTATCTCTTGTAATTGCAGTAATGCAGTGGCCTCTTGCAGGAGGCAGAGTCAGAAATGTGGCCTAAGTACATTTCCTCTTGTCCATTACTGATTTTATTCTGAACCAGAATCAAGATAAGAGTTGCATACTATGGTAACTGTGATGGGCAGCCCATTCACCACTGAGGGCTACCTTGGGAATATATTTCATTTAGTTATTTATTTTATTTGGGATGTTTCTAATCCTCCCAATCACTATGCGTCTCTGGACGGCTTACAAACAAAATTCAATAAATACAATAATATAAAAATCATAAATACCCTAAACAAAAACTTAATTAAAATCTTTTAAACATATTAAAACTGGGTGAATAAAAAGGTCTTGACCTGGCACCCAAAAGCATATAATGTCAGTGCCAGGCAGACCTCTCTAGGGAGTACATTCCATAGCCAGGGCGCCACTGCAGAGAAGGCCCTCCTCCGGGTATTCTGTCTCCTGATCTCCTTCAAGGAGGGTTCCTGGAGCAGGGCCTCTGCTGCAGATCTTAAGGGGCAGGAGGGCATGTAGGGAAAGAGACATTCCTTTAGGTATCCTGGTTCTAAGCTGTTCAGGTTTTTATAGGTAATAACCAGCACCTTAAATTGGTCCCTGACTTCAATGGGAAGCCAGTGAAGCTGATAGAGGACTGGAGTTATATGAGAGTAATGACCGATCCCTGACAGCAACCTGGTAGCTCTCTTTTGAACCAATTGAAGTATCCGGACCAACTTCAAAGGCAGTCACAAGTAGAGCGCATTACAGTAGTCCAACCCCGTTGCTAGGCAGTTCTCGTCTAGGTAAGGACGCAGCTGATGGATCAGCTGAAGCTGAAGGAAAGTGCTACTCGCCACTGCCGTCACCTGGGCTTCCAGGGACAGCTCTGGGTCGAGAAGCACTCCTAAGCTGCGGACCCTGTCCTTTAGAAGGGAGTGCAATCCCATCCAGGACAGGGCCAAAGTCACTTACCTGAAAACCTGGACCACCTACCAAAAGGACCTCTGTCGTATCTGGATTGAGTCTCAGTTTGTTGGCCCTCATCCAGCTCATTACCTCGGCCAGGCACCAGTTCAGGACAACCACTGCCTCACCTGGACTAGTTGAAAAAGAGAGGTAGAACTGGCTGTCATCAGCATACTGGTGACTCCACAGCCCAAACCTCCTGATGACCTCTCCCAGTGGTTTCATGTAGATGTTAAATAGCAAGGGGATCAAAATGGAACCAGAGCCATAGTCACTCAGCACCACCTTCTGGAATCAGCTAGCTAGGTAGGAAAGGAACCACTGCCAAGCAGAGCCTCCTACTCCCAGTGTGACCAGCCTATCCAAAAGGTTACCATGGTTGATTGTAACGAAAGTCCAGGAGAACCAACAGGGTTGTACTCCCCCGTCCCTCTCCCTGTACAGGTCATTGTACAGAGTGACCAAGGCAGTTTCAGTCCCATAACCGGGTCTGAAGCTGGACTGAAATGGGTCCAGATAATCAGTTTCATCCAAGAATACCTGGAGTTGTCCCTCCACCACCTGCTCCAACACCTTGCCCAGAAATGGGATGTTGGCCACCATTCTATAATTGGCGGCCACTTCTGGATCCAGGGGCACCTTCAGAACAGGCCTGATCACCACCTCCTTTAAAGGGGCTGGGACCCGGTCTTCCCTCAGCGAGGCATTGATGTCCTCCTGAACCCGGGTACCAATCCCGTGTTTGGCTTCAGTGAGTAGCCATGAAGGGCAAGCGTTGAGTAAGCAGGTGGTAGAGTGTACCAGTCCAAGCACCTTGTCCACATCACCAGGCCACATCAACTGAAATTCATCCAACAGTGATGGACCAGATGGGGCTCTGGACACTTCCCGTAATGGAACCCTATCAACTGTGGAGTCCAGCTCG